CCCATCCCGGCCTTTCCCCCGCCCTTTCCCCCATCCCAACCATTCCACCATCCCGACCTTCTTGCTCATTCCGACCCTCTCACCCGATCCTCCCGCTCTGCCCTCCCGCTGTTGCCACAGCCCCACCATCCCGATCTTTTCCCCCATCCCCACCTACCCGCTCATCCCGACCCTCCCACCCGATCCTCCCACTCAACCCTCCCATTGTTGCCACAACCCCACCATCCCGACCCTCCCGCCGTTGCCCCAGCCCCGCCATAGCGATGGAAGAAACACGAGGAAGAAGAAGAAGAAGAGGGGAGGAGGAGGAAGAAGAAAAAGAAGATAGGAGGAAGAAGAAGAAGAAGAAGAAGAAGAAGAAGAAGAAGAAGAAGCAGAAGAAGAGGGGAGGAAGAGGAAGAAGAAGAGTATAGCGATGGAAGAAAGACGGGGAAGAACAAGACGAAGAGGGGAGGAGGAGGAAGAAGAAAGAGAAGATAGGAGGAAGAAGAAGAAGAAGAAGAAGAAGAAGAAGAAGAAGAAGAAGNGAAGAACAAGACGAAGAGGGGAGGAGGAGGAAGAAGAAAGAGAAGATAGGAGGAAGAAGAAGAAGAAGAAGAAGAAGAAGAAGAAGAAGAAGAAGAAGAAGAAGAAGAAGGGAGGAGGAAGAACAAGAAGTAGAGGAGAATAATAATAATAATAAGAAAAAGAAAAAGAAAAAGAAAAAGAAAAAGAAAAAGAAAAAGAGGAAAAAGGGAGGAGGAGAAGAAGAAGAAGAGGGACGGAAGACGAAGAGGGGAGGACTAAGAAGAAGGGGGAAAGAAGTAGAGGGGAGGAAGAAGTAGAGGGGAGGAAGAAGAAGCGGGGAGGAACAATGGCGACGACGAGGAGTGGGAAGAAAAAAAGAACGAGGAGGGGGAGGAAAAGAGGGAGGGGGGCGGGGGTACCAAGTTACTACCAACCTCGGCGATGGTTGCTTCCGGCGATGAAGACGACGACTGCAGATGACGACAATAGCGACGACGACCTCCAGCGGGCAATGGCGAAGACGACGCGGGCGAGGTCGAGCAGCTCCAGCGGGCGGGCGCAGCAACTCCAGCGGGCGGACGAACGGGCAGGAGTTTGATTTCGAATTCGAACTCCCCGCTTCGCGAGGGGGCCTCGCGCGCTTCTGTCTCAGTCGTTGATCCGCAAGATGGACGACTGAGATTGTGCATTTTTCAAAAAAAAAAACGAGGGTCTGTGGTTGTGGGCCCTCGTTTTTTTTTTGGGGGGGGGGGCAGGGAGGTCCTATAGGGGCGTGAGGACATGCCCAGGCCTACAAAACTCCGAACCCCCCCATCCCCTATTTTGTGCGAGGGAGGCCCGGTACCAGCCCAACCAACCTGCGCGCCCGGGCGTCCCGGGTGGGTGCCGTGCGAGCCGACGTGAGCCGTGCCGGACAGCTGGTAGCCCAACTTTCTTGAGAATGACGTATAGTCCTACAATTTGATTTTTGTTGGAAAGGGTTTTCCTGCACTTTTTGAGGATCGTTTGACATTTTGCCCGTTTTTTATTTCTTTTTTTTTTGACAAATAGTTAAAACTTAAAAACGTTTTTTTTTTTTTTTTTGCAAAATAACACTTACTGGTAAATGTTCATTCTATAAAAAAATGTATGGTTTTGTCATTTTGTCTGGTTTTCATGAATCCTGTGTTTTGTTTGTGGTGCCGCCAAGACGGCCACATCTCAAGCTCCTCACCATATCCTTGCCACACCACCCTATATTGGTACTATGCTGACTGTCAGCGTTGTTCGTATACCCCATGGGTCGCCCACTTGGCGTCACACTAAGCTGCGGCGCACCATACCTCTGAGGCTTCATTCATGGTTGACCTCCCAACCACAGAATTAAGGTTGGCACATTTGGGAACCACACCAAAGGTTTATCAGGAAACCACCGATGCGACTTTTCCCCCATCGCCAATCAAGGTAACGTCTAACTCTCAATCGACCATCGTTATCCCTTCCCCCTTTCCCATTGCATTCCATTACCTTATAGATTGTTGATGTGTCATGCCTTTCATACAATACATTATCGTATTGAGTTTACTACTAGAGACAAAATTGTTTCTTTGTTCCTAGACTTTATAATTGGAAAGACTCGTACAACACATGCATATATAGGCCCGTCTTGCCCGACTTTCCCCCAAGCCCGATCACACCCTACATATTACTTCCGCTCGTTTAGGGATGATTACTAGGGTGTACCACGCTTTATGGGATTTGTGCTCGTAGGGCGTTCGTTCATCCTCCTGTTGTTGAGGAGGTTCGACTTTGTGCCACTAGACTGCGCTTCCATGTCTTGGTTACCTTATGAGACAACCAGATAAAACGCATCTTAGATCGGGCGGTCTTATAATCTCGTTCTCCTTACCCCACTAGACATCATCACTTTCATGTATTCACTAATTTTTGAGTCACTTCACCACAAGCCGTTAACGGGAACCCCCACTTTTCGACCCTGAGTAACCATGAATGATCCTGAAATTAGGGTTTCGGGGTCAAATTTTGTATTTTTTTGGATTTTGTTTTTTGCCTGTTTTTGTCTTTGGACAAGCTTGCTGTGTGTCAAATTTGGTGTTATTAGGGTTATTAGAATTTGTGTTGTTGATCATCCTGAAAATCCTGAAATTACGATAAATGTTTTTTTGGCAAAATTGCCTGAAAATGCACTTTTGAGGTGCTGTTTTATGTGTGGTTTTTTTTTTTTATTTTTTATTTTTTTAATAATATGTTAGTAAGAAGTGCACTCTATACATTGGCGTGAAGTTTGTTTGAAATGGACTTATGGTTTTCTTATAAATTGAAGTGAAAAATGGGGGGTCGGTTAACCGGCTCTCTTCATTACATGTTTTAATGCAATGGAGATAAGCTACGACTTTGTCCTTCGCATTTCATGGTCTCATCAATTCTGCTCTACTAATGTTAAGTTGTAAACTAGGTGATCAATTAACTCGTCGTTACACCGAGGTGTAATCTTACCCGTCATATTCCCTTCTTAGGTGCCATAGTTGACATTCCGTACATCTTTCCCTAAAAGACGATCCCGCTTGTTCCTAACTTGAAATCACAGGAGCAAAAAAAATGGACCGGATTTCGGCCCAAAAACTCAATTTTAATTTTGTTCAAAATATATAATATGTCCGTTTTGACGAAATGGTTGTTTAAGTTCGTAGCTTAGTTTGAGATTATCGCGATGTTTCTCCCTTCTACTTCTTGTACAACGAGAATTTTCTAATGTGTGTCGGTAAAGAGCACATGATGTAGTTAGTGTCTGATATCACATTCACCATAAGACACCTTACCGTCTCTCGATTCCCAAGGTAAAGTTACT